AGCATATTGAGATAAACTTATATCAAGTTATTCTTTTTAACTATATATTACGGATAGTAGATAATTATAATGTTAAAGTCATTTTTCATAACTTGTCTGTTAATGTGTAGAGAGATAAAAAAATTACTTTAACATTATAATTATATATTATCCGTAATACATAGTTAAAAAGAAATAGTTTGAGATAAACTTATCTCAAGTGGCTGGAGAAATATTTTTTTCCCCACACACACATATATGTGTGTGCGCGCGTGCGCCAGTAGATTGTTGTGTGAATTAAATTTTCATTAAAAATTAGACAAGTAATGATAAATATATTTTTTAGCAAATAAATAGAAATGAAAATAATATCTTATGACAATATGGGCAAATAAATAAACGATAACAATTTTTTTTCTTCAAATTAGCACACAACATGCAATTTAAAATCAAAACAATATTGATTACCAAAATAAAAAATATATAAAAACAATATTTCCCTGTAACAAGCTAAATTTACATAATAAAGAAAGCACTCCAAAGTTTTTTTAATTATTTTTCTAATCCTATTTGATTTTTATTTCTTCTTTTTTGTTACTTTATTTTATTCATTTTTATTTTTGGTTACTTTATTTTCTTCATTTAATAAAAAAGCTAAAATAAACGCCCTATCTACTTAAACCCAATTTATTTATGGGATTTGCATTTGTCATTTAACATGACACAACAAACTTTCCTACACACAACATTTTGTGGGGTCCACACTTTTTGAAGAAAAAAGAAAAAAAAGAAATTACGGAACGCAAAACGAATCTCTATAACATTACACAATCACTTTTCCTACAACATAACTCTTATAAAACCCTTTATTTTATTATTTGTTAAAAAAACTTCATACAGCCCAAAGTCGAAAGAAAACTTGGCTTAAAATTGTGGTAGGGCAATGTATGCGATGATGACGTGGGTTTTAGCTGTTTCAGATTCTCTTGTCGTGGACAAATACTGTTGGTGAGAATTGAAGACTAAATTTTGTTAGAAATATAAGCAAACTAAACCAATTGAAAGAGAACTGAGGCTGTCTTTGCAACTAAATGACTTATTACCAAATCATTGACTGAACTCGAGAAGAAAATTTAGCTTGAGTGTATTACTTGGTTCATTTTAATGAATTAAATACGAGATGGTAAGTAATCAATCAACTTACGTTTAATGAATTAAATACCTACTCATCCGCAATAAATATATTAAAGTTCACATGTGAATCTTATTTTTATTTTTTTGGGTAGAAAACACATGTGAGTGTTTACCATGAAGACAAATATCTTCTAAAGGGTCTTCAAGTTAACAAAGGCTACCCAAGCAACTTATGCAATTCTTATGCAAAAACCATGTCAAGCCACCTATACAACAATCAATAGAGAAATCCTGTTGCCTCATCACTTGTCGGGACATCTCCAAAGCTGGTCATCCCTTGCTCTATAAATACAAATACTTTTATTCCTTATTGCTATGGTATTATTTATTACCATAGTTAATAGATAGTATGCTGATTTGAAATTGCATTATATTGTGTTAACCAAAGATACATATTTTCTTCTATATTTAAACATGCACTTGCTTACATAAAATCTGATTTAAGTATTAGAGTGTTTTGTAAGTATACTTATACTTGTTCCAATGAAAACCTATGAGTTAAAAGTTATATCAAATCACCTATGTTAATTGTGTAGAGGAATATCATTATTGTCAGCCAAAGTAAAATTAGTTTTGATCACCTATTAATTTAATTCAGTTTAATATAAAAAATAAAACTAAACTATATGTGTATTGCTAGAAAAAATTTTTATATAAATTGAATCAAATGGCATCATAAATAATAATATTTTTTGAAGAAATTTAAAAAATGAATTACATTTTTTTAATTCATTTAAATATTGAACCATTAAGCTATATTCAATTTCGATAATCAAAACCGCTTTATCAATCCAGTTCACTTCGATATAGAAAACCAAACGAAACGATATGCATTCCTCATTCATTGACTGAATAATCAATATAGGAAAAAAAAATAGTAATTAGACCAGAGAATGCTATTGTTTTATAAGACAAATTGAATAGGTCGAGCATATTAAAATTGACTTAACATTGAAACTTATAATTCAGAAAGCACCATGGGAGCAACAAAAGTTGACACACAACCTAATTCACGCCAATAGGTAAAATCTTCCTGTGCTTGAGGACCACGCTATAATATAATGATTATAATATAATGATATATATATATATATATATATATATATATATATATATATATATATATATATACACGTAGCATATGGTTTTTGGTATCTTTCATGACGGCTTAAAAAAGCTTTGGGTTGCATTTTCATTTCACACCCACCCACCGACTTTTGAATTAATGTACTTGACCATGAGAGAAAATTAAAGCAGCCAGCTAGCATTGCACACACGCACACATACATGCTAAATCCCAAAAAGTAGTTGGCTCATAAGACTAGAGTCGTATAATTTTCAGCCATGCTTGAGGGGCAGCTTCTTCCTCTGTTCCTCACCTTCACGAGCCCCATCTACGACTCTGGTTGGTTACTTGTTTGTTTGTACAATATCATAGTAGCATATAGTGTCTTTGGGAACTATTATCATATTGATGATTTATGGTCCAAAAGTTCACATTTCCATCCAAAAAAAAAATTCAGAAATCAGAACCTTTTTTTTAGGTTCTGAAAAATTATCAATAAGAACTAGAAAATTTATGATATAATTATCTAATAAAAAACATTTAATAGTACTGATGAATTGATTAATAAAAAAATTCCATTTTGCATGTATTGTGATATCTATTAATTTAATGAATCCATGTGTTATACTTTTATCCAATATTTTCTTGTTTCAAATCCCTCTACGAAATGGATATCTTTTCCATTTCCAGCCAATTGGTGAAAATAGTTTTTTTTTTTTTTTTTATTTCATTGTATTCTATCCTTTAATCTGATCACGAATATTCTTTATTGCCAAGTAACACAAGAAAGGGTCGAGTGTAACGTGATATCTATATATCGCTCCAACTTCCAAGACTTAAATATAAAATAATAGTATCGTAAGCTAGTGTTAATTTTTACCGCAACTGAGGTTTACTAAATAATTTTTTATTCAGCAATTGTTTAACAAATTCGAATAAAGACATTGTTTTTAACTCCTATTTTAAGGCCAAAGAAACTAGACTACTAGCCATTTGACTACATTTGATTGGATATAATCTTGGTTGATTAGTATGGTACAAATCAATCGGATTTCGTATTTAAGATGTTAAACCGTATTCAATTCAGTTCAATTAATAAGATTTAGTTGAAAAGTCGATAGATCATTATCAAAATCAAATCATTCTCTTAAAGTAATTACTAAAATAATTAAGGAAACCCCAGATAGCACAACAATTAAGTGTGTTAGCTAGCTTCTACAAGTAGTAATGACTATCTACAAATGTTGACCGTATTAATTATATATACCTTTTTCATTTAAACCATGCGCGGTGGTCCCAATTGATAACGTGTCTTATGCTTAACTCGGTTTTGTTAATTCTTGCTTTTAAATTAATTTATCATTTCTTCAGTAGACAAAACTAAGAATAAGATTCCTTTAAAGCCAATAAAGTGAGCTGATAAAAATTTATTCAACTTTGAACTATTCAATAAGTTAAAATCACAATTATTTTTTTTAGATTAAACCAAAGGTAGATATTGTCAAAAGAGATAAAATATAAAATTATTGAAGACCATCACTTATTAACTTAAATTTTTAGGTGAAACGATTGTTTATCATGATATCAGAGTCAGAATAATCACGAGTCACGAATTCGATCATCATCATTCCCACTTTCTAATGAAATTAAGTCAACACAAAATATTACCAAGAAATGAGTCTATATAATATCAACATTTCAAGTTCAAATGACTCATTCGTGAGGGGTTGTATTGCCAAATATATAATTATTTATTAATTATGTAGATAAACTTACCTTATAATAGCAGCTTTTTCCATAAACTAAAGACGGCAGCGTTGCATGTAATGTCATTTATTATACTACAAGTAATTGATCAGCGTTAGCTCAAAGTTTGGTGGTGAGATTATTAATATAATCGAGCTTTGTAATGTCTCAATCGGATGCCATATACTACTAAAAAAAAGTTGATTTGGGACAGAATTATGTGGAATTACATTGCAAATTCCATCGTCGTAAATTTTATTTGCAATGGAATTTGATCATTTGTGATAAAATTTAATGTTTGTGATGAAATTTTCGATAGATATTGCAAGTCGCAAATCAGCTTTTTTTTTTTAGTAGTTATAAGCAATGGACTATTAATTATTTATTTTGGAACATCACGCGCGACTCTAGGAAAACAAAGTATAATATCTTCTCAAATTAATTATTCTTATATAATAAGTATATGGCAACAACACACCGGCTTTGAAATGAGAATTAAATGTGAAGAGTTTCCATATTTAAATGATTCCAACCTTGACACGAAGACTAAAAGCTATATAAGGTTGGTCCCTCGCTAGCTGTTGCGCACACAAACACGCACACGTGTGTATCAACCTTTGACCGATAGGTATCTAGTATAGCGATGTTGTTTCCGAGTTGCAGTTTAGAATTACATAAACAGCTTTGAAAAGAAATAATTAATTTAATCCATAAAAATCAGAAATAAATAATTCAGATACAAACATTTTCATTAATCAGTAATTTCACTTTGATGATACAGAAAGAGTTTCTAAGGAACTTGCTTAAGTAAAAGCAAGCAAACAAGAACTGAGACACTTGGACACTTAAGGTGAATCTGCATTACAGTATGTGCTTCCCTGATATGAGTTTTGGGTTTTGCTTTTACCCAATTAAAGAATTTATCAAAATGGCCAGAACCATTTAGAAAAAAGAAAAAAAAAATCATAATTGCAATGTAATTTATCGAATAGCATTACTTTTTTTTTTCCTCTGATCATATCTTTTCTGTCCTTATTCGTTCCATGAAGATACGTATTCTTTCCAACGCTACTTCAAGCGTTTTCTCACTCATATTTGCAAAGCATACCCTGAACCAACCTGGTTCAGAACAATGGCAAGAAGACCCCGGAGAGATATTAAGTTTCACTTCATGCAAAATAACATTCCAAAGCTCCAATTCTCCTTCCCTAGTTGGCTTCTCCAAGAGTGGACTTAGATTCATCCAGCAAAACAATCCTGCATTCCCTTTCAAGCATTCAATCCCAACACTTCTCAACCCTTCAATTATCATTTGATATCTCTTCCTCAGTCTCTCTCTATTAGTCTTAATGTAGGTCTCAGTGAACTTGTTATCAGATAACATACAAGCCAATAAGTGTTGTGTCTGAGAGGATATTAATGTGAAACTTGACATCCTTCTTGCTGTTGTCACAACCTTATCATTGTATGAATAAATAGTACCAACTCTGAAACCAGGAAGACCAAGGTCTTTTGAGAGACTATAAACAATGTGAACTCTTTCTGCATTTTTGTACTGACGAGCTTCAAGGATTTCTGCTACACTTACAAACTCAGAGGAGGAGAAGACTGAGCCTGAGTAGATTTCATCTGAGACAAGATGGATGTTCTTGCAAGTCACAAAATCAAGAATCTCCTCCAGAACCGAGCGTTGAATTGTTGCACCTAACGGGTTTGAAGGGTTTGTGATTAACACTCCTCTCACTTTAGTGTTCATAGCTTCTGCTTCTTTATATGCAGCCTCTAAAGCTTGAGGAGTAATTTGGAAATTGTTTGAGCTGTCACAGTGGATTGGAACTATGTTTACTCCAGTTCTCCACCTTAAATCTCTATCAAATCTGTAAAACAAGAAAGAAATTAAATAAATAAAAATTCCAGGTTATTGATCTTAGTTTAAGCAAGCATGCAGTTACGTGCTTCCAAATAAAAAAAATATATATATATATATATATATATAGTGTTTGATTCTTACCCTGGATAGTAAGGGGTTGGAACAAGTAAAGCATCTCCTGGATTTGCGAGAATGAAAGTTAAGAGCTCATTGGCTGCAGTTGCCCCTGCAGTGAGGACTACTCTGTGTGGGTCAAATTTTGCTCTCCCTCCTCTTATTTGTTCCATGAAACTTGCCATTGCAGTTCTGAATGACTCAAGTCCATGATAGTCTTGAAATAAAGCGTTCTCTCTGAAACCAGAAACTCCTTTTCCCCAGATGGAGGCCTCTGAGTGTTCTTCTAAGTACTTTTCCAGCAAATCAAATGAAACCTGAACGGTACAATATAACAAGATTAATAGCTAATTAATTAATTACATGCTATGTAACTAATTACACTGGGATGATTAATTCTTCTATTAATTGTTTTGCTTTTTGACTATATTTTGAATGACTACTAGAAAAATCCTATATAGCGAGGGAATTGCTATGCAAATTCTCTCACTAATTTCATCCTTAATACTACTTTCCCTCGCAAATTCCCTCGCAAAATCGTTTGCGAGGGAATTTGCAAGGAAAAGTAGTAGCGAGGATAAAATTAGCGACGAAATTTGAATAGCAATTTCCTCGCTATACACAATTTTTCTAGTAGTAACAGAAACATGTTTAATTTGAATTAATTTATTTTGTAACATTTAAGATTATTATTTTATAATTTCTTACAAAAATCAAGAAAAATATTTATCTGAAATAAGTATTTATCAAACATGTTGCAAGATATATCCACTTACTTGATTTTCAGCCAATCCCATTTGTATAACACCGGAGGAGTTAGTTATTTCATCATAAGGATTTTCATCGTAGGCTTTCCATCCAGCAAAATAGGGAGAGTCCTCCCCATGAGTTTCAGAAATTGCCACTTTTGAAAGCTGCACACAAGCTTGCCCTATCTCAATACCCATAACAACTAGCTTTTTCTTGCTAAGAAAAGATGGGGGGGGGGGGGGGGGGGGGGTTTAAAAATAAAAACTGCAATTGCAGAGGCTTTTATTTATTATAGGAAGCAGAAAACTTGTGTTGGTAGGAGAGTAAGAAGAATGGAAGAGAGAAACTAAAGAGAGTTGTTGATTTAGAGTTTGTCAAAACCACCTCTATATATAGGGTTTGAGTCTCTACATAAAACACTAATAGAAAAAAAAAAAAAAAAACATCAATTATTGATAACAAATCGGAGCTTTACCTTTTAGTTTTTTACTGAAATAGATTTATCTGATGTGACTTGTGAGTTGTGACAACTGTACATCTTGCCAGATCACACGGAAAATATATGGTTGTTGTTTGGGTCTTGGATTTCTCCTCATTATAGTTCTCCATAGCTTGAAGATTTTTAATATGTCGGTTTATTAATGGGGTAGTGTTCATAATATAATTTGTTAATTAGTAGTGTGGCTATTTTATATGGTTTCAATTTCAAATTTCAATTGTTATTTATTAAATTAAAAGTGGTTGAGTTCTCAAAAAGAATTTTCAGTTCTCAACCTATGACTAATAAAATCCCTTGCAGCACAAACTCCAAAAACTCCTTTGCGAAAACCAAATCATATTATTAAGATCATCTGAACAGGATTAACACTGTGCTAGATAAGGATTTGCAATAGTTGTAGACCTGACATGTGACAATGATATTTCAAGTAACCGAAAAGATTGAACAAGATTTTGATGTGCAAGCATCTTGTATATAAGAGAAGCTACCCCACACTGAAGCCGCACGAGAGAGGGAGGCAATAACAAACAACAGAACTTAACGACTTCTTTCAAGTTTTGAACTTGAAAGTGATTTCTGTAATGATTGAATCATTCATGATGATTGATTTGTATATCGTTTCATTTTCATTCCACAGTTTAACATAGTTATATGGATGTATTAAATTGTGATTTGTGTAATGATTGACTCATTTATATGGCTTTCTTTTTGGTTAAGAAAAACGGAAGGCAATTAATTAAGTGAAAACTATTTCTTCTTCTAAATGATATAAGTTTATCTCATTTTATCTTTTATAATTATGTATTTTGGAAAATATATTTATAATATTAAAGTTTTATTTTTTTCTCTTACGTCGTTAGCTGAAAAGTTTATGAAGATATAGAAAAAAATAGCTTTAATATTATAAATATGCATTCCTCAAAATACATAGTTATAAATGGTGAAATGACATAAATATATATCTTTTAAAAGGACATACACTAAATACATTAATTAAGTATCAGTTACACTCCTATATCGAGGAAATAGATCGTCTAATTTTAAGAGGTGTTATGATAAATCTCAATGTAAATGTTAATTTGAATATATATGATCATTCAGGTGATAATTAATAAGGAAGAAAACAGTTACAAGGAAATCTACGGTTGAATTATTTCGTAAGTAACCAAATGGTGGTAGCTCAGTTGGCGCATGAGAGCTAAGCAGGTGGGGATGAGAGCATGTGTTCGAATCTCTCCAGTATCACCTTTGAGAGGGGTTTAAAGCCTTAATCCTGGACTCGTCCTAAATCGAATTAGTTGTGAAGCAATGAATCGATTGAAATATATATTTCCAAAAAAAAATTATTTCGTAACCTATTTATAGTAGGTACATACTCTAGCTAGCTATAAGTTTTAAGACCAATGTTAAAAATTAAATGAAAGAAACACTACATGAATAATTGTCATTTGAATCCAAGATTAATTAATTAGTTAAGTGTGATTTGACTTGATTAAACGGTTAGGTATCTAGGATATATGCGCACCATATAAACTGGGTGCATTATCTCTTCTCTCCTATTCTTCTCTCTCTCCCCCTCCCTCTCTTTACATATATATATATATATATATATATATATATATACATATATATATATATATATATAATCGCTTGGATCTTCTTGTATACAATCTTATCATTGGATAATATTAATTTGGAGAAGTAATTTTTGCCATGTATATATGCATGCACAACAACGTTTAGGAGTTAGGAATTTAAGATATTTGTCGAGATCTTGTTGTTTTTGTGGATTTCAACTAACTAACTTGAAATATTAAGCATCGTTCAAAGATAGAAAAAAATAAAATAAAAAAATGAAAGATGATATGATAAGCAATGATGAGAAGAATATGCTTCCTCATAACGAGGGTGTGGAGCTCGACATCATGAATATCCATGTGGTATAGAAGATCAACTCTAATAAGATCTACAGTTAATATGGTGAATATCTTAACGCAAGAAAGAGAACGTGATTGGAGGGATCATGTATATGACGACTTTGCAGCGACTTCGGCCTGTAGGGTAGAGACAAGTATCAAACAAAGGGCTCAGAAGATATAGAAATTCATTGTTTATAGTTTGTGGGATTTATAATGGAGTTGTAGTTGGGGACAAGTACATTTATATTTTCTTACTAGACTAGTACCTCTTTTTCTACCCAGATAAAATAAATCAAATATTATTGGCTGGAAAGCATCGAGTGATCTCTTTGCTGAATAAAAATAACCCTTAGCCTTTGGTTAGAACATAAATAAATAGATGACAAAAGCATTATTATCTCTATAGAGAAGAATCAGGAAGATCTAGATAGCTATCTTAAGTATTTAAATCAATATATTGGTTTGAAAATCTAAGATGTGAAAACGACTACTGATCTATATATTGCCCATGAAGGAAGTTTACAAGACTAGTTCGCTTGGGCTCTTCTCCGACATCAACAACTTTTTCTAAACCAAAGTTTAGAAAATCAACACGTACTTGAGATAGGGGATCTTTTCTTAATTGTTAACAGCTAAGAGTGTCAACTCAAAGTGAAGGGGCAAGATCATGTCACTTGATGTCGACGCTTTGCACTTGAACTAACAAGTAAAATAACAACCAAAGGGAAATATTTTTCAAATAAAATGATGTTTCATGCTGTCTAATTTGCTGTATATTTCCTAGCTAGTTAGCACGGTACTAACCGAATCGTAATTTTACAAATTCCCCCGATAATTGAAGATTAATTCCCTTGAGGTTTTAATATCACTAAAGTGGGTATAGTCTTTTAACAATTTTTTTTCCCATATATATCATCATGAATTGAACCCATATTATCATGTTTAAAAGACTTAGCTATCTAACAATTTTGTCACGCTTTATTGGTTCTTATTTATTTTTTTAGTTTTTGTATTCAATGACTCACTTTTGCTAACTAATATTTTTGTGTCTATAATTAAGAAAAAGGAATGTTTGAGAGATTTAAAGAAAATAAAAATAATAATTAATGATACAATGAAATGAAAAAGTAAGAAACAGAATAAAAAGATCACTTTCTTGTTTGGATTGTATGAATAAGTGAAGAGAAAAAACTTGTACTAAATGTCATGTCTTTTTCATCTTGACAACACCACCCCCATACACACGTACACAAAAATAAAATAAAATAAATATTTGATACTGTAAATGACAATGAGGGGTTTTACGGTCCTTTTAGTGCCATTGCATTAGGTGGTGTTTGGTTGAGAGCTTTCCAGTGGATATCTATCTTTCTCAAGTATGGCTTTTAGAAACATCATGTTTGTTTCAACGTTTTTCACCAAAAACTCATCTATCCAATTTGTCTGGATTTATGAGAAACATAGATATCCGCACTGTTTAGAAACTCAATTTGAAGGTGGGATTTTTCGGAAAACCGGTTATCTGACTTTTGATGCACTGTTGATTTCATAAAGCTACCTAGTTTTCCCAGTAAAGTTTTTCCTCACCAAACAACTTTTTTTTACATTTTTCTACCTATCTCACTTTATCTATCTTTCTAATCATTTCTCTATCTATCTCATTTCCCTACTATTCCAAAAAAAATTCCTCCAAACACCCCCTTAATTCATTTGAAATAAAACGTCTCAAACGCACATCTTCTTAATGTTATTCTTTGTTATTTCAGCTCTTGTCATATATCCATTAATAATTGAGAGTTAAGAAGTTTATTTCTCTTAACAAGAAGTATCAAGTTTAAACTTTCGAAATCGAGTAAATAATTTTGTGAAAACCGCTCCCTATATGAATTTAAGAGAATTGGAATCGAATTAGCAAACTTTACATAAATCGGTGAAGAAATTAAATAAATAAATACACAAAAACGGAACACATAAAACTGTAAATAGCCAAAAGAAAATAATTATTGCTCGTCATATTTTTACAACTTTTGTTTACACTTACAACTACTTCTTTTAAAAAAATTGTTAAGAATTTTGTTTATCTTATTTTAATATACAAATGAAATTATTGTATGCAAAATAACGACTAAAACTATTTTAATCACTCATTTTAGCTTATGTGTACTTTTTTCTTTTTTTTTTTGAAAGTAAAGAGGGGCCACGCTTTTGTGTACTTTTTGTTTAAAAGAAATATGGATATGTAACATTACTGAGATATACTTCCACACTGCATAATGCAGTATTTCGGTCAGTCACCAATAATTGCAAGGAATGCATATTGAAACACATCATGTCCGTACTTAATTAATTTGATTAACCATAAAGGCATTAGTTGACCTTAAGTTTTTCTCTCCTTAAGTACTGCGCACTGCTCCTGATATTAGGGCTAATTAATTGCTACTTAAATTTGTGGGGTAAAAATTTAATACATGGCTGCTACAAACTCCGCAAAACCTTAACCATGCTAAAACTTGTATAGTGGCAGATCCTTATATTTCATCTGCTTAAAGGACAATGAGTTCAATTTTTAAAAGTCAATTTATACTGAGGATAGAAAGATACAAATTGAAAATCAAATTAATTGGATCCGTTAGAATTTTGGACACCAATTGGTATCCTTAAAAAAATGATATATATATATATATATATATATGAGGCAGGTTATATTTACAAACTTTTTTGTTTACAAACTACACTATATTCTCCCGGGAGAACACTAGTTTCACTATGTTCTCCCGAG